CGACCTACAGGGTGTTAAAGTTTAAAAAAATCAATTTTTAATAAATATCGTTAAAACGTTTAGAAAAATCAATTTTTAACAAATATCGTTAAAACGTTTTTACCGATTTCAATTAAATTTTCACAGTTTGTTCATATTTTAATGAGACATCTTTTGGGCTTATTAGTGTGTATTCAAAAACGAAGCGATTATTATGCAAAAAAATATTTATTTTGATGTATATTCTTTGTCCAGCATGACATAGTATATAACAAATAAAGTTGAAATCCAGTGTCGGACTAAAAAAAATAAATAACAAATTTTATTCATTTGAAAACAATATCCTATATATTAGAATTTTGAAAATTAGTTAGCATATAAGAGGAGGTAGACAAAATAGCTTCACCTGCGCATTTATCATCGAGGTGGTAGAAGCCCAAAAATGGGCGCATCTAGAGACATCTCTCGGCAACGTTATTAACCTGCAGGAGTTTCACTAGAAAGACCTATTCAAATTCAAATACCAGCCCGAGTTTCAGGGAGCTCCCATACAATCTGCATTGGCCTGGTATACAGACGGTTCAAAAACTAAGGAAGGACTCGGTGCTGGAATCTTTGGACTCAAGTCGAAAACAATGATAGCCATACAACACTGTACAAGAGAAATAATACATGAGCAAGTATTAACAAAACTATTGCCATCTATTCTAATAGCCAAGCAGCTCTAAAGTAAATTATCTCCCAAAAATCACTTCACGACTGGTTAAAGACTGAGAAGAAGATTTGACAGAGGTAAGTAGTCAAAACAATGTGACCTTAGCCTGCGTACCGGGCCACGAAGGATATCAGAGTAACGAAAAGGCCGACAAACTAGCTTGAGAAGGCTCATATAAGGCCATGATAGACCTTGTACCCTTTTGTCAAGTTTCTAAGGCATTGTACAAAGCATCCATCAAACAATGGATGAAAAAAGATAACAGTAGTTGTTCTTACTTTACACTGTCGCCTAAGAAGGCACATAAGTGTCATAAATCTAGCGGAAGCAGCAACATTGTGCAGATTTTGCGAAGAAGAAGAAGAAGAAGAAGAAGAAGAAGAAGAAGAAGAAGAAGAAGAAGAAGAAGAAGAAGAAGAAGAAGAAGAAGAAGAAGAAGAAGAAGAAGAAGAAGAAGAAGAAGAAGAAAGAAGAAGAAGAAGAAGAAGAAGAAGAAGAAGAAGAAGAAGAAGAAGAAGAAGAAGAAGAAGAAGAAGAAGAAGAAGAAGAAGAAGAAGAAGAAGAAGAAGAAGAAGAAGAAGAAGAGAAGAAGAAGAAGAAGAAGAAGAAGAAGAAGAAGAAGAAGAAGAAGAAGAAGAAGAAGAAGAAGAAGAAGAAGAAGAAGAAGAAGAAGAAGAAGAAGAAGAAGAAGAAGAAGAAGAAGAAGAAGAAGAAGAAGAAGAAGAAGAAGAAGAAGAAGAAGAAGAAGAAGAAGAAGAAGAAGAAGAAGAAGAAGAAGAAGAAGAAGAAGAAGAAGAAAAAGAAGAAGAAGAAGAAGAAGAAAAAGAAGAAGAAAAAGAAGAAGAAAAAGAAGAAGAAGAAGAAGAAGAAGAAGAAGAAGAAGAAGAAGAAGAAGAAGAAGAAGAAGAAGAAGAAGAAGAAGAAGAAGAAGAAGAAGAAGAAGAAGAAGAAGAAGAAGAAGAAGAAGAAGAAGAAGAAGAAGAAGAAGAAGAAGAAGAAGAAGAAGAAGAAGAAAAAGAAGAAGAAGAAGACATTAGGTGAAGAAAAGCATATAAATACATGCGGTATTCACTGTCAAAGCTACTAAGCCTATTAAAAAGGACCAAGCTATATTCCAAATAAGAGTCCCACAATCGATCTAAGAAGCTCGTGCTGGACAAGAACAAATAATATCCAACTCTTTTTGAATGTAATCTAATTTATTTTAATCTTAACTAGTGAGAGTCCATAGACACCTCTTATCGACTACTTACACGTTTTTTTACTAGTAGGAGGTAGGTCGTATATTCCCCGGATGATGCACAATGGACCTACTGCAACTCATCTTCCCTCATCTTACCGATACAAATATAATATGAAAAGATCAGAAAAACTAAGTTACAAATTGTATGCGATTTTACCATAAAATTTTGTGTTCGATAATAAAGGGATATAAAATAATAAAAAAAATGTTTTTAAATAATAACTTTTTTACTCGCTGTTTTAGTTGTAATCAGTCAAATCAACTTTTTATATTCTATTAATTTATGGGTCGCAGTCTTAATGCAAAACCTATCGACAGTCTGTATTTGTGATAAAATGATAATTTCAATGACTAACTTACAACTTACAGCTATGTGAAACAAAATTATTATAATAATATTTATTACGTTAAATTTTAAGCAAATAATAAAAAGGTTTCCCTTTTTTAATATTCACTTTCCGGAAAAAGCAGAACTTTATTTTAAGAAACATTAACGCTGAAAAATCTACAAATTATTGAGTAAAATTTGGAAATAAACAGCCTAATTACTCCTACGAAATTAAGGTATCTATTCTTTTTTTAAGGGCCTTTTTCTACCTTTTAATTATTCTTAAAACCCCAAAGTGGAAATAAATCAGATATGTCATTCCCGAATCAATAGAATTTACATTGGCATATTCCGATTGTTGTCTTACATGTATGATTTATGGTGTTTTCTTTACATTTTCAGTTATTCCTGAAACTCTCATTGCAGATTATATTGCGGAAATAGACGGACCGCAATATGCGATTGCTATCGACTGCACTATGCAATCGCATTTCGTCAAACCACAGTTTCTTTATGATAGAATAGACACACGTCAACAATATCAGCTTTCTACACGTTTTGTTTTTTTTAACTATCCTTTTTTTTGCAATCTGTAAGGTTATAATAGGCAAATAATGCAACTGTATGGAAATTTTCCAGTGGTAATTTTCCTTTTATTTAAATATTAATAAAGTTTGATTCCAGGATAACTACACACTACTCAGCACATACACAATAGCACGGAAAATCTATCGGGCAGGTTACACGAAAGATGCCTTCTCAGCCTATCTCTGGATGGGAGGCCTCATCAGCGGTTGTCCTAATGCGTTAGGATGATTTTCTGATACTTCTGTGAGAAGAGGGATATTTCTTCTTTGACTGACTTCATTTGAAGATCACTGACTATGTTATAGTGTTATTGGGGACATACCATGGCGCATTTAGAAGGATTCTGAGTACTTTGGACTGAAATATTTTCAGTATGTCTATATTTGAGTTGGATGCTGTACCCCATAGCTGGATTACATAACTCCGTATGAGCTTAGTATGACTTTATATAGTAGAAGCTTGTTGTTAATAGTTAGTTGGGATATACGTTCTATTATCCAATAGAGTTTGCTAAGTTTTATGCCTAATTGTTTTCTCTTTGTAAATATATGTGTTCTTCTCATTAGTCGTCGGTCCAGGTGAATTCCTAGGTATTTTGAATTTTCTTTTTGTTGCAAAAGCTGTCTATTTAACGCCACAGTTGGACATGTTTATCTTCGTTGGGTAAAGACAACATGAATTGATTTTGTTTCGTTCACCTTGATTCGTCAAGTTTTTAGCCACGCGGAAATAGCGTTCAGGTTGGTTTTGCAGGGATTTGGGAAGAAATAACAGGATCTTGATGAGATGCCAGGACAGCAGTATCATCTGTATATGTTGCCGTAGTTATATTGGTGTTTGTGGGAATATGCACTGTGTATATTAGGTAGAGCCAAGTACACCTCCCTGTGCAACCCCTGACATTATTGGTCGTAGAGTTGAGATTTGATTTTGAAATTTGACTTGGAAATGTCGGTCTTGCAGGTAGGATTTTAGGATGAGGAATATGTTAATTGGAAGGCTTTTCCAGATTTATATAGTACTCCTCGTGCCAGACCTTGTCGAATGCCTGAGCGATGTCAAAGAAAGCAGCAGAGCAGTATTTTTTGTCTTCAAAAGATTTGTATATTTTTTTTGTAACTGGATGGACTTGTTCTATCGGCGCCTGTTTCGCTCTAAATCCAAATTGATGATTGGCTATTAATCGGCTAGCCTTCAGGATTGGTTCTATTTTCTCTAACAGTAATTTTTCTAATAGTTTTGACATAGCGGGTACCAAACTGATTGGTCTGTAAGATGTTTCCTCCATTGGTTTTTCCTGGCTTAGGGATTAGTATGACTTGGGCTACCTTCCACGAGATCGGGAAATAGCCCGTTTTCAGGACTGCATTGTACAGTTGTGTCAAATATTTTATTCCCTTAATTGAAAGTTCCTTTAGGGTGTTGACAATAATTAGATCATATCCAGGATATTTTTTGGGATTTGACTACTGTATTGCTCTTGTGATTTGTTTTACGGTAAATTTTCTAGGGGTAATTCCAGTTGGTGTGTGCGTTCCGGGAATCCTTTCAATGTCGTAGTTGTTCTCTGCTGGATAGGGATTGAATACTTTTTCTAGGTGATTAGCAAACACACTGGTCATATATTCGTTACTTTTTGCCCATTGGCCTTCTGGAGTGCGGGTAGGAGAGTTCGCCTGTTGTGGCCTATTTAATTTCTTCGCTGTTTTCCACAAACTGTAATCGGTTGCTTCTGTGGCGGTTAGGTTCCCTGAGATAGTTCTATATTTCATTATTTGTTATCATTAGGCACAGTTTTTAGTTCTACGGTTGCTGGATTTAGTTTTGTTTTGTCGGCGGCAGCTCGAGTTATTTGCCAGATTTTCTTTAATTTGCGGTTGTCCGTTATTTTCTGTTTTATTATCGTCGGTAATTCTTATGACATGTTATCATTTTCTTTAATTGGAGTCGAGTCCCATGCTGCTTTCTGGATTGATCTTGTATATTCTACACGTTGGCGCATCTATTTTAATCTATAACGAACTGTGGATTGCCAAAATGCAACTACACAATGCAGCCGACAGCAACCGCACATTGCGGTCCGTCTATTTCCTTTCATAGATATGAACAATAACAGTAATAATTGTATTTTTTTTTTTTTTTTTCAGAAAAAAATGTTCAAAACAATGTTGCAAAAATTTTATGAGATCAATCTTTTGCATAACTTTGTGCGCTTCATGTTGTAAATGTTGTAAAAGAAAACCTGTGGAAGTTCCTGAAAGAAAAGATTCTGTTATTAGTAAGAAGAAAAGTTTGACCCCAACCACTGCTCCACCACCGGAGGTGAGTAGTTGATTCATTAATTATAAATTTAAAGTATACTGTGTAAAACTTGGCCATATTAAACAGCAAATTGATATAGATAACATTCTGTAATATATATTTGTTTTTTAGGAGGTCAAACCAAAAATCGATATAAGCTTGGTTGAACATTCTTCTCATATGAAAGGAGCTATACCTATACTTCCAATTTGTTTAGCTTGGTTTTGTCTAATTTTGAATTGTATTGCTCCAGGAACAGGTATGTACTTTTTAAATCATTAAAATTTATTTAAAAAAGATTAAATAATGTTATAATGACGAAAATGTTTGTTAATATTTTAAAACTACAATTTTGTAGCTTGTAAGCGAATACTTATCATAACTTGACAGATAAATATTTTATTTCTCTTATCGTTTTGTTCTTTATATGATTTTATCCAGTAATGATTTTATTTTGTAAATTTTTGTTTCTAAAAGTTGCAAACAATCTTTAAGTTATATGGTTTTCTAAACTTCTCACAACTTGCAAAAATATACTCAATATACAGTGCTTTAAAAAGTATACAGTTCACATAACTTTGTTATATTATAGAATATAACAAATAGGTAGGTTGTAATTATACCATATGGAGTCAAAAATAAGACGGTAAAAACGATATACCGTCACTCTCATTTATTGTAAAAACAGTTTATTTATTTAACAGTTTATTCATAATTTATTTACATTAAAATACTAATTAATTTATACTTAAGCACTATTTATATTTCACCCGCATAAATCTAATTTATATAACAAATGTCTATCTTCAACTGTGTCCCAATTGCAATTGACTGACTTCCTCTAAAGCACAGCTCATTTATATATAAATTGATATATGCTCCAGAATATTCTTCCACCATTTATTGGACTTGTGTCTCTGGCAATGTCTCGAATATGCATTTACCACATTCGTTATCATTCTAGTGGATTCTATGAAAGATTCACTACAAGTAGCCATAGGCCTAATACTTTGGGGGGTTAACTTATTTCTGTAAATATTGTTGACAATGGTAACAGTTGGGCCTTAAAAGCCCAAAAAAGGCAGAGAAATATTTAAAAAATTAGGATTAGGATTGGTCGAAAATGGTTTGAATTACAAAACAAAAAAGTTACAGTCAATAAAGTCACAAATTTAAAATCGATTTTTCCAACAACTTCGAAACTGTTGAACAATTTAATACACAAATAGACAAATGGATTTTTTAAGAGCAATATTGCCAGAAAAAATTGCGAAAACAGTGCACCCCATTAAACTTTTATATGCTACTTGTGATCCTTAAGTTATTCTTTTTGAATAATTCAGAAATAGGTTAGGTTAAATCAGTGGTCTGCTCATGGTGAGTAGTGTTTGCCTGCTGTCTGTATAGATGAGCATGTTCCTTCCAGTGATATTGTTTCTGGTAATTTCTTTTGCTACTATGAGAATCCCCGTGAGCTCCGTTTGAACTACATTGGCACTATTGCTCACAGCCCATTTTATGTTTAGGTTTTTAGCAATGAACCAAGAACCAAACAGTGCTTTTTAAGGTAAGATCTGATGATGTTTATAGAAGAAGCGAAGCGAGTGGTTTATAAATCGCTAGTAACAAAATAATATATTTTCTTTATGATTTTTAGTGCATATTACGTATCCACTTTACATATTTTCATTGGGACGAGTACTCATATTGACAAATTAGTTACATAGGATGCGTGAAGATTATTCGTCACAATTTTGGGCAATAAATCTTGATATTATTACCCAAAATTGTGACGTTTTCCTGTTTTTTGCTTTTGGACTTTTACTTATTTTTTATCATTTATTATATACCTCCTGTCACCCACAACTAACCTATTAAAAAAAGTTTTATTTATTTATAATAATAAATGATACTATCCATGTAATAAGGCTGAAAAATATGGTTGGTTTTGAATAAATAAATTAACTCGGTACCCTTTAGGTGTTTCTTCAACTGTGCATGCGAAGAGGGCCGAAGGAGCTAAATTTGGAGAATAGGAGGGGTTGTATATTTTCGCCAGGGTGTGGTGACCAGTATAGACATTGTTCTCCAAAATTACTACTATATCTGTTTTGTTAATACGTGATGTGAAAACTCACACATACGATATGGGGTTACATTATTGCGTATGCGCGCTACTGCTAGTATTGTAAACAAGTGGCCAATATTTTTTCTTTCGTTCAGGTATCCATGTGCTCCTTTGCGAGGGATTCCAGAAAACTCCCCCAATCAGGCTTGGTTCCAGCCACTGGTTCCCCTCAAACATGCTTGGGGTCCAACCTGATTTCTCTCTTGAGGTTCACTAGGCGGCACTGAAGCCTAGATGGTCTATTGAGCCACTATTTGGATGCCCTACTCCTTTCCATTCATCATACATTTATTCATTCCACGTTATAGATGGTTAACTGCTAGTCGGTCCATTGGTCATGCATCGCGAATGCAGAAGTCTCGCTGGTAGTATCTCCGGCCAATAAATAAAATAAATATTTTATCTTAGCACAGGCCTCACTTACTTTAGTAGAAACCAAACACAGGAACCTTTCAGTACATCCACGTAGGTAACCGACCTTTTTTAGATTCCAGAATATCTGATATAATTTAATAGCTACCTTTTTGTTACACCCTGTATATCACATTCCTCTCCATCTACCTTATAACTAAATTTAATAGAATTCAGTAGAATGAATATTAATATTTCAGTATTTAATCATAATAAAATTATTTAACTGATTTAGAAATTCCAATAAAGTCTATTGTTCTCATAATCATGTTTATCGATAAAAGAATTACAATGATAAAATTAATTCTTCCAAAAATATTGTAATTTTTATGCACATAAATGTTTACCCATAATAATATTTAAATGAAGATTTTTCTTCAGTTGCATTTAAAAGTAAGTAAAAAATATCTAATGGATGATTTCATCGAAAGACATAATTTCTATTGCAAGATCATTGCAAGAGCTTTGCGCCATCTACCAGTTTACATAGCAAGTAATAGAAGCACGATATAATTTCAAAGTAAACTGTAAATTATCATTTCGACAATCTGTCTAAGGTTACGTCGCAGCATAATTTTCTTTTTCATCTGTAAATTATATTTAAATTTATAATTGCGTAGTAATTAGTTTAGTTGGTAACTTTTAAAAAGAATACTTAACTGAAGAACAATTCCTCTTTTAGGAACTGTTATAAGTGGACTGCTTTGTCTCTGCATTGGAATACCAAGATTCTCCCAAAAAGATGGAGCAAGACCAAGGATTGGAGCTTTCATAATAGATTTAATCATTGGATTCAGTCAATTTTTTACCGTCCTCTTCTGTCTTGTTGGATGGGGATGGTCTATATGGTGGGGCATAATAATGATAAAAATTGCCAGTAAGTAACTTTTTTTTTATAATCATTTTATTACCAAAGTTTTGTCGAAAATAATAACTATTATGAGGTTTACTAGAGGCGGACTCTAACCTCCAACGGCGCGTGGATCGGCGAATCATAAGTTCAGCTCGCCAAGCTACGCGCTACGGAAATGGACTGGCGCGTCATTTCTAAAGCTTCGACTAGCCCAATTCACAAGCCAGGCTTGCCAAACCATGTGCCATGGGAATCCGCCTTTAGAAAATACAGATAATTATTAGTCTTTAGTATTGAGAAAGTTTATTACAAAAAGTAACTATTTTTTGTACAATTGCAATGGTAATTAAGCAACATCCCACACATGATTAAAAATAAAGTTATTTGAAATAATGGCGTTAATATATCGACGAAAGCTTTTTTCAAAAAAGTTGACGTATTCTGTTCATTACATTTTTTACTTTGTTTCTAAACCTTTTGCTAAGGATCACAAATTACAAAATTAAAATAAATAAGAAGCAAGACAAAAAAATCATTTTTTGGATCATTTACTTGGGTGAATCTTAATTTAAAGTGTCACTTATAGCACAGTTCTTTATGATGGCCGTTCAAATTCATGTGACGACTTTGGGACAGAGACCCCAGGTGCGCTCTACGGTTCGTCGGCATTGTTCGTAAGCAAAGTATGCTATTTTGGCACTGATTTCTAAGTATGAGTTCCATGTATGAGGCTCGATCCTGATGCTATGCTCTTGACCTATTTCGAAATATGAGTGATTTGATTACTGTTTTTAACAGTTAGTTAACTGACTTTTGTAGATCATATCTGCAAATATCAACTTTTTACCACAAAGCGTTATTACAATGTGGCTAATTCTTGAACTGTGTGTCGTGATTGTTCATAAAAATGAATTCTGTAAAACAGCCATACTTAACCTGCAGCCATCCAAGCTTTTTTTGCGGCCCTAAACACTATTATTACGGAGGTGCTTTTTAAAACTATAGATTTCTGCTTTTTAAATCTTGAGCGAAATGTGCGAAAACATACATCGGTCACTACGCCAATTATCGCGCTAATTTTTAAATAAACAGTTTGATCATGGGGTTACTGCAAAAAACAAGATAAGCTTCATTTTCGGCATTTTCGAGTTAAGTACACTTTCGTCTCCAAAATAGTTCAAATAATATACGACATAAACAAGACAAGTGTGAACAATGTCTATATTCATGATAAACGGATGTTCAATAAAAACTAACTCCATAGTAATACATTCACAATATGCACAAACAAGATAAGTGGCATTTATACCGAAATATATTCATAACATTGTGTTCAGTTGCTAATATTGTTTTAACCAAAACCAGATAACTTATTTTTGCAAAATGTATTTAGTGCCATTTCTAATGTTTCAGCTAAAACAAGATAAAGGCCAGAACACTTATTTTTGATAAATTTATTTGTTGAAATACTTCAACATTTTGCCCAAGCCATTTGTTTTTGTTTGCCTAAAGTTGTCTCTAGCCCTTCTCGATTGGTCCGAAATTGACAAGGTTATTACGTCACCCTTTCTTTCCACGATACAGCTAACTTTCAAAAACCAACAGATGATAACACGTGATACCTGAATCGCCGTGGTCAATGATTGATTGATTAAGCCGTAACGAGTTACTGCTAAAGCGGTAACGAGCTGGAATGCTGACGCTCGTCTTCATATTGTTTGTACATTAAAACGCACTTATTAAATAACCGAAAAAAACACCAAAAACACCAGATATTCACATTGATTGAAAAACCCAAGCAGAAGGATAGCTATAAGGGTGAAACGCTCTGAAAATACTTACAAAAAAGTGCAAGACATTAGAAATGCCAAGAAGAAAGATTTACTAAAACTTTGCAAATCAGGTACTACAACTTGATGAATTCACCATTATTGTAACAATCTACCTGTATCTAATAATATTAAATTAACGGTACATAAACCATTCATTGGAGACAGTGACACAGACATTGAATATTATGACCTGTATGTATGTAGATAGCCAAAATGAACTGACTTTTTTCATTTTTTTTTTTTTGTTACCAAGATTCTTAGTTCATACTTTGTGAAGACTAATTATGTTTTGAGTACCTTTTTTTCTTATTAGAGCTATTTTTTGTTAAACAGTTTGAAGCTTTTACTGATTCTTTATTTAAATTTGAACCGTTAAACAACGTTTCCTCGAAACTCTAAAAATGTGAGGTATCTTGTTTTTGTAGTAACCCGACGGGATATATTTATGTGTTGTGTTTTATTTATTAGAGGTGCCCACTATCTAATTTTAAAAAGATGGCTTATCTAAAGGGTAAATATTGCGGCTCGTGTAACATACCATACGTATGTGGCCCGAAGGTAAAAACGGTTGAGTATGGCTGCTCTAGAACAAAGAATCGTAATTAAATACCTCCAGAAAAAAGGCATCATGCCAACTAAACTTCATGAAGATATTGTGGCAACTATTGGGGAGTGTGCAGTTTCTTATGACATAGTCAAACGCTGGTGTCGAGATTTTAAATGCAGAAGATAGCCTGTGAAAACGAGCATGCTAATGTTTTTCCTATAACAACAGACAAAAACATTAAAAGGTGCGCATCAGGGACACTGTGAAAGATACTGGTTTATCATATCATGTGGTGCAACACATACCGAATAAAGAATTAGATATGAAAAAGATGAGTGGAAGATGGGTGCCCCGAATGTTAATAAATTTAATGTTATCTATTGAGCAACTTTTGGAATGGTACCAAGCAAAGAAAAGGAACTTTCTTAGTCAGTTTGATACCATAGGTGCCGCACTATGATCCCGAGATGAAAGCGTAAAGTAAAGAGTTGAAATATCACGATTCTTCTCCTCCACGCAAATTTAAAGTCGGGCCGTCTGATTGAAAGGTTTTGCTGTCTGTGTTCTGGGATGCTCAAGAAATCAGCCTGACTATTTGCAAAATAAACAGATACTACAGGGTACTAGTACGCACAATTGATTTCTAAATTGCGAGACGATCTTAAAAATAAGCGCCGAAGAAAGTTAAGGAATAGTGTGCTGTTCCATAAGGATAATGTCCCTAGCCATACATCTTGTATTGCCATGGCTGCTATACACTAAACAGGGTTTGAATTAGTGGAGCACCCACCATATTCGCCATAAATCGCCCTCCAGTGATTACAGGCTGTTCCCCAAATTAAAAGAAAACTTACGTGAAAATACATTTTACAGTAATGATGAACCGATGCAAGCTGTAGAGAAGATGGTTTTCGAAGGTCGGACAAACATTTTTCCAGAAGGCTGTTGAGATATTAGATGACCGATGGACCAAGTGCAGAAGTGTAGAGGGAGACTACGTCGAAAAATAAAATAATGCCACTGTAGTATTACTGTAAGGGGATCAGGGGTGCAGCATAGAAATCCACCTTCGTATTATTCAACCTCATTGGTCTCAGGTTAACTTACTGTCAAATGTGCGACCCTGATACTACGTAGGTTACCACGTACGAAATGAATTAATAATGCACAGTTATTAGGATAGATGGCTGATATAGCATTAAGGAAAAAATGTGGCGCTTCATATTGGAAATTATACTCATATTATAGTCTGGTCAAATTAAACCAAAAATTAGGAGTGAGGGTACAAAAATTTTCACCCAGCTGAAAATTGGTAGAATTGTTCGAAACACCATTATAAATTAAACCTAAAAAGTCCTCATCAATCCGGCACCTGGAAAAATATTTACTCGGGGTCAAAAGTCACAAAAACGGGTTTTTCGCGATTTTCAGCAAAACGGTAAGTTTTATCATAAAATTAGTTCAGACAAAAATTGTAGAGCAGATAATAATCTATAAAAAATGTTTAAGATTTTGTTTTAGAGCCACCGTTTATCATTGTTTGATGACATTGGAATGCGCAAAACACAAAAAACATTTACGATTGTTTCCAAAAGGTAAATATTGATATTAACAACACAAATTCGACATACATCATTGATGGAGGATATTTATTACACCGCGTTGTATTGGATATTGAAGAAACATTCAACGCTATCTTTGATAAATACGTTCAGTAGGTACGTCGACATTTTGGCCCCAGAATTACTGTCGTATTTGATGGCTATAATGACTTTACGAGAAATATTAAAGCCGCAAAACAACGTCATAGAAATTCAACAACATCTTTATCTTCTGATATTTTATTTGATCAATTAATGACAATTCCTACCAGTCAACAGAAATTTCTTGCTAGTACCCACAACAAATCGCGGTTCATTTTATTGTTAAAAGAAAAGCTTATTGCTAAAAATATATTGATAAAACAAGCTAATAATGATGTAATAATAGTTGAAATAGCAATAGAGCAATTCAATTTAACAAATACAACGATTGTTGTAGGTGAAGATGTTGACTTACTCGTATTACTCACTGCTCGGACCTCAATAGAAAACACTATTTTTTTTTAAAGCCTGAAAAATCTCAACATCAATCCGAAATATAGTCGTCAAAAAGTTTATCTACTTTTGCAAAGTGTCAAAATCATGTACTATTTTTACACGCAAAAACTGGCTGTGATACGACATCTGCATTTTTCAGGAGGGGTAAAACAATAGTTTTTAAAATGTTTCAAAAACAAGATTTAGTTCAGTGTGTTGAAGTTTTTAAAAACAGTAATTCTACTGCACAAAAAGTTATTACTTACGGAATTCGCTTTCTTCTCTCTATGTATGGAGCTACTAAAAAAACTACGTGTTTAGATAAGTTTCGATACGCACGCTTCGTTAAAAATACTCGAAATAAAAAACAAGTACAATTAGCTTGTCTTCTTCCAACTTCTGCGGCTGCTCATCAACATCTTTTACGGGTATATTACCAAGTTCAAGTGTGGCTAGGTTATCAGCTAGATCCAAAAGACTTGGGTTGGAAGTTGGTCGACAATGCATTAGAACCAGTTCAAACTTTACTACCACCTGCGCCGGAAAAACTGCTCAACACAATTTTTTGCAACTGCAAAAAGGGATGTAGTTCTAAATGTGGTTGTAAAAAAGTTGGACTGTTTTGTTCTCTAGCATGCACTAATTGTCAAGGCCGATCGTGCTCCAATGTTGAATCATGAACACTTGAGGACTCGTTTGATACCAACAAGGAGACATGCGATGTATCACTATTCAGCTAATTTACATGCATCCAGGATGAAGAAGAACAAGGAGAAGAAGAACGAGGAGAAAAAGAAAAAGAAGAAGAAGAAGAAGAAAAAGAAGAAGAAGAAGAAGAAGAAGGAGAAGAAAAATAAGAAGAATAAGATGAAGAAGAAAAAGAAGAAGAAGAAATCGCAGTTACACGAGAATCACCCATATCTCAGAAACGGTGGCTCTTAAGAAAGAAAAAAATATTTGACATTTTTATAGATAATTATCCGCTCTAAAATTTTTTTTTGAACTAATTTTGTGATAAAACTTTCCATTTTGCTGAAAATCACGAAAAACCCGTTTTTGTGACCTTTGCCCCCGAGTAATATTTTTTCCAGGTGCCGGATTGATAAGGACTTTTTAGGTTTCAATTATATTGGTATTTTGAACAATCCTACTAATTTTCAGCTGGGTGGAAATTTTTGTACCCTCGGATGTCTAAATTGACCGGACTATTAAGCGAGTTTCCTCTATTACGTTCATTAAAATATAATAAAGAGGAGATGCTATAACAATGCTAAAGTGTTCGCATCTTTGCATTATACTTTTACGACATATGTCAAACTCAAGATAGTCATTTTTGGTGAGAATAAATGCCATTTTCTTGAAATAGCTTTATTTAATTAAATAATATAAAAACATTTTCATTCCATGAGTCTTCAAATATAAAATTATTGACTTCAAATAAATCAATGTACGAGTCAAGTCGCCATTTTCATTACACTTTTCCGTCGCTCGAAGTGCGTCATTCTGTCATCGCAAAATAGTGTTTATGTCTTTTCTACTTTATTCTATCTCGATGATAACGTTATAAGATTCAAGCTGATTTCCGATTCCAATTACTTCAATCTTTTTATTCGTTCAACTTATTCCTTTGTTTTATTTATTTAATATTTTCAAATACCTAATTTCTAAAACAATCTAATTTAAATAAATATCTTAAATATTTGAGTCCTTATCTATTTAAATTTAATCACAATATTATATATCTGATCAAAATTTAAATTACCTTATTTTTTAAAATATTAAAAGTATTTTATGATTACCTTGTTTTTTTGAAATCTGATAATGACAGTTTTTTATTTGCAATATAATATTGTTTTCAGGAAAACACAAAAGATTTAAGCAACTCGAAGCAATAGAACAGGCAAGTTCATTACCTGGTACCAATCCTAATCCAAGACAAAGGGACCCAGAAAGACGATAGTCGAAAAAATCATTTCTTTTTTAAATTTTTATAATAATAAATGTATAAAAGAAATTAGATGAACGAACACATTGTCTTCGTATTGTAACAAAATCTTCCAAGTAAAGCAGGGATAGAAGTTGGAAAGGCTTTTGATAGGTAGAGAGGTGGTAAACGTCAAACCCCGAGCGGTAATGTTTGTTCACCATAGAATAAACATAATACCAAATTTTTTAAATTATTACCGGCGGGATTGGCTTTAAATAATTATTTAAATTAGTATTAATATCCCAAATCATAATTCTATAAAATTTCAATAGCTATTCACAATTTATGAAATTACGTAAAATTTTTATTAGCATCTATAAAATAATTTTATACGCCACTGTTACGCGTTCATTTCGGTTAGCTCCGCGTCAAAACAGAACTGTCAAATTCTGTGTATGACGTGAGAGATTTGGCAAAAGCCTTTCTAATTTCTATCCCTGCTATAGTCTTAGTTGTTTATGACAAAATTATTTTTTGTCGTAGTTTACTAAATTGTATCTTTGATTTGGACAGCTGTAGTAAACTGGGTACTAGCCTACCTGCTTTTCTAATTCTGCAAGTAATCTAGGCACCAGCCAAAAATGTACCTGCAAAGGTATATGTAAATTGGGCACCGTACTAATTTAAATAAATAAAATCAGTATGATCAAAATAATGTATTAAAATGTAATGTAGCTTAAAACATTTTAAACAGTGCACAAAAATTAAATATAAAACAAAATAAAAATGAGAAGTACATTCAATCAGAAAATTTAGATAAAAAAAGCTAAATTATATTACTCTGGCTAACAAAATGATACACACTTCACAAAGTGTAACCCAGACATTGTTCCATTATTTAATTTCTCATTTGTCTTTAACTTTCGCTGATATGTGTATACTTTGAATTTTGACATAAGTGTCCAATTGAAATTCTTTAAGATTATCAATAAAAATAAAAATAGATGGACGAGTTGCATAAAATGATTCAACTAATTTGATATGAAACGATTCGTACGCATATGTGGTGTTGGTAATCGATGGAGTTGCAGTAGCTCACTTAGATGCAGAGAAAAAAAGCATCGTCTTCTATGTACGTTTCTAACAAATAATCGGCATATTTATTAAATTGGTTTCTCTGAAAATAAATCTAAAGCAAAACAATCGTCTACTTCGTCAGGATTTAAAGATGTTAATTCAAATAAATATCGCAACTATTTTCCTAATTCGGAATATTTATTCCTCAGTTTGCCTGTTAAACTTAAACTTTGAATTTTTTTGAACCAAGATTGTTGTAAATGGAAATGACAACCACTGATTTTTGCTGTAGATCATATAATCTGGAAAGCAATGTGAAAACGTTTCTCAAAATGGCCGTAATTATATAGAGTAGCGTACAAAGATATCCGTACTTAACATTTCTTGCGTACGTCTTACTGCGTTTGTCAGACAATAAACAAAACACCAAAGGAATATAATATCCATTATGGAGTCCATGGATTGTAAATAATTGTAATAGTTATTTATTATACAACGGAAAAAGGTATTAGATTTTAGCTCGAGATTGTGTTGAGACAAAAACCAAGAGCTAAAATATAATATTTTTCCCGTTTATAATACACTATTTTTTTCTGTGACGATTTCATTTTGAAAAAAATATATAAAAATTTCTAACTTTACTTATGTGTATATATATATCTAGGAAAAAAGTACTCACTTTTTTCTGATGACACACTTTTTCTCGGGAAAAAAGGAGAAAAATGTAAATTTTTTTCCCGTCACAGAAAAAATATATTTGGTACAATATGAAAATGTACCATCTATATACACTGTGCATTTCACAAGAAAATACTATATTACTCACTGGGCAGTTTAAAAAAACGAAACTTTCATCATTCCTTGTTTTAATTTCATAATTTCTCACTATATTATGGGGAAGCGGCTCTGGAAGAAAATTTTCTCTTTACACAATTTCTTTAAAAATATATGTCAAATCTTTTGTTCTTATCGATCCTGGCAGTTCCTTAACCAGCTCACCCCGTATAGTTTTGGTAATCACTTTTCGGTTTAGCTTTTTCTCATTGTGTTCATGATAATAGTCTAGCTGACTTCTGGTCGCTAAATGTAAACATTTTTTGAGCACAATTTAAACTTTTTTTGTACAACGCCAAAAAACTTCACATCTCTTTAACACTTTTTGTTTAAAAAAGGTGTACATGTTAATCACTAACAAACATTTCCTATTGGCACTGTCCACAAAGGATCCCTAAGGGGGCGTTCATTAATTACGTGAGGTATTTTTGAGGATTTTTTGACCCCCTCCCCAATGGTGAGATTTCGAAAGATTTTCCTCAAAACTCCCTCCCCCCTCCTCTAATATCACGTGATATTTTTCAAAATTTGTGTTTTGGGTGTAAATGCATTGGATTAAAAAAAAAACAATATGTTCTATTACTTTTATTTAAGACCAGCAAAGACTAGTATTTGAGAATATTGCCGTAATTTAAAATCACAGTGATAAAAATAAATAATAAATACTTAAACGAAAATTAATAGAAGATTTCTTTAATTTAATTTAACTTTACTTTCACCCAATTTTACACCGTTTTCTACTAGAAAAAAAAACGATAGATTTACAAAGACCTCCCTCTCCCCCAAGTGAAATTTGGAAAGATTTAGCTTAATCCTCTCCCCCCTTGAACACCTCACGAATTAATGGACGCCCCCTAATAGCACAGTATCTTTACACGAACGTTCCAGAAACATGTACTTGGACATTAGAAACGTCTCTGTCATGTTTCTCATTCTTCCTCAAACGTACCTGTGATGTTTTTAGCAATCGCGATGTTATCACACAGAGCTTGGATTTATAGATGCATCATCACATATAAAATGTAAAGGTTTACATCAGGACTAACGACAATAATCCGAAAACAAATTTAAGTTGTGCACATTTAGACTTTTTAGTAATCAAAGCTTCTAGGTATGCTTATGAAAATAATTGATTTTAAACACATTATATTTTATGAAACAAACCCCAAAACAAGTCTATTAGTCATTATTATGATGCCTCTGTGTTTCCGAATCTTCCGATTATTTATTTAAATTGTCTGTATTATAGATAGTGTTTTCCAGGGAAGTGTTTGTTTTATTTTAAGCTGTGAACAAAATAAACTTTTGTTACATAGTTTAGTTAATGATTTATGAACTTGAACCTCGTCCAATTAAACTTTTTATTTTAATACAAATAACCAATTATTGCTTTTTGCTTTTAGCTTTTCCATTGAAAGTTTCTACATTAATGAACAGAGTCCTTGTCTTAAAACATAGATTAACATTGAATACGTATAAGTCTGTCTCTCATGCTACCTCTATATTTCCTAGCTCTGTGTGTCATCATTTGTAACAGATTAGAGACGTTTCACAGAGATGTTTGTGAAACATTCTATGATGTTGCTCAAACGTTCTAGGTAATTTTTTTTTATACTATTACTGGAACGTTCCAGAAATTACCTATACCTTTTTTTTTAATAGGATAATCAAATCTATTACTTTTTAATAAATTTATTAAAAAAAATGTGATGATATTATTGTTGATATTGATTTTTGGTGATTGTAGTAATTTTATAATTTATTAATATTTCAAAATAATATTCAAATCGAAAATAGAATACCTATACATAATTACGGTGTTTCTAAAACGTTCTTGACAAATCATTCCAGAAACGTTTCTTTAGAAACATCGTAGGGACGTACCATTTATGTCCAGAATCATAAAAACACACATAGAACCTAAATGGGATGTTTTTGGCAAATCAGTGCTATTAGGAAGATGTCAATAATTATTGTTTAAATAGATAGTTTCACAATGTACCACAAAAATCCTGAATACGTAGTAAGTCCTTCGATTGTATTTTTTAAACTAACTAAATTTTCTATTTTATAATAATTTATCAACAAGGCATAAGTTTACATCTACCCCAAATTATTAGACAGACGACAAAACTATTATACCAAATTACAAACACATTATGAGGGTACACTCAACAATTTTATTAATTTTAAAGATATAATATTATAATATTGTCCATATTTCTATTGATTAAATTTGAAATTATCGCATCCGTTTTTTAAAATTTATTACTTAAAGTAGTACATGGTGTCCAAATTACATGTCGGATTTAACTGCCCTTTTCCAAAGCAGGTAATCTCCCAAAACTGGTGCCCAAATAAGGTTCGCCGACTATGTGTTCTCTGCAACACTGAACTGAAGAAAACAGCAAGTAAGTAGGTGTATTATACAGGTTTTAGATGATTCAATATTGTAATTTCGTAAACCGCTGGAGATTCACAGTCGGTTAAATGGGAAATAAAGTTGCTAAATTATGAGACTACCCTACTAAAGTTTTAAATTCAAGATATCCGTGAGAGTTTCCTAGATATATAGATAGGTCAATTTTCTTTTATTTTTGATTGGGGTGGGTTTATTTTCTAAATTAACAAAATATGGTACAAATCTTTTTATTTAGCTATAAATAGAGTTACTCATCTAAAGTTTCAATTCAATGTTTCGTTTCTAAAGGGACAGCATCAAGATTATTTTGTAACTAAGGACAAATATTTTTTTATTTAATTGGTTATCTATATTGGGTATAGGGCATTAATGCACTGCGACCTAAAAGGTTTATTGTGTTTTCTCCTGTCGATAATGCATCGAGGAAATAGTAACTTCCATTTCTATCTTCTCAACAGTGACCAATATTTTGGGGGTTCGCAATGACAGAATATAGGTCTCAAGTAGGAGAGAGTGGGGCCCATTGGAACGTTTCAGACATTTTAACTGATATCTCATAACATCCACAAGAAAACTTTCAAACTCGGTTCATACATTCCTTGTTTTTTCTCATAGGTTACCCATGTTTAAAATTTGCACATATGTTTCATAGAACTAAGAAATATTTTTTACATAAATGATCTGCTTTTGTACCAATGTGCCCCACCTATGGGGCATATTGACACTTTGAAGGGGCACATTGGAATTTATTAAAACATTGTACATTGTGTTTAAAAAATACATTATTTAATGAGAAAAACAAAAGAAATTATTCATACTTATAAAAAAGAAAGTAAAAAATACATTAAATAACATAAAACAAGTTTTTCTAATAAAAGCAGAACTTCGACGAAAATTGAAAAGATCAAATGTTTAATAGAACTGGCCCTTTCAGTTGTTTTAGAATTTTTTGGACTTGGAAGCTACATCTCTACTTGGAAAAAGTTTACAGCGTCTTTGTCTACAATATTATGAAAACAAATCGTTACCTTTTTTTTTAAATTCACACAGTATTGTTCGTCATTATATTCAAGAATCTCTTCAACCTGCGCGACATAACACTTTTGTGCAATATTTAATAACCAGAAAGTCTCTTTGGAAAATGTAACAAAGATTATTTTCAGGATTATTCAGCGGTATAAATCTATAGTAATCGTTTTCAGTTTTAAGTTCAGTGATGTTATCTGGCTCTTCTTCTTATGGTACACTCTGAATTGATTCTTCAGAGCTTTTTATTTATCTTTACATTCAACTTTCTTCACAGGTTCCCGAAACATATACGTTTTTCTTTTTCTTTTATTCTTTTTCTTTCATTTTTTCATTTTTCTTTTTCGTTTTAATTTTTTACTGGAGTTTCTGTGAGTATTGTGAATTTTATAAGTTTTTTCCTCCTGTTTTCTGGTTTTAGCCTAAAGGCTTTAGGATAGGGTCTTACAACTTCAAATGTAATAGCAGAGTTATTTAAAACCTGAGTCAAATATTCATCATCATCATCATCATCAGACAATTCTTCATTTAGTA